CATTTTTTAATTAAAGCATTATTTATAATGGACTCTAAAACTGTTTATTGAAAAGAATTGGATACTGGACAGAGGAATTTGTTTGGAGGTAAAGTCAACCTTTAATTATATTTTCTTGACATGATAATATAGGGCACAAAAGGAGTATGTTAGAGACTCCTGCCGTGTATGCTTTTGTATCTTTTTGTAACTAGACCACTCTGCTGCGTTTAGACTCGCACGGGCACGAGAGCGACAACGTCTGGAGGGTAGGGTGCTGTTGGACACCGACTGCGGTACGGACATTCCCTCAATGTTCAGCCCTCTATGGTGTTGCCAACCTCTATCTCCTTGGTCACAAAATTATTGTTAAGGATAATTTCGTTTTCCGTATTACAGGCATATCTTGCTTCCTTCTTCATTTCCGTAAGGAATCTAAGGGGTTACTTGTTCAAGCAGAGAATTTAGGCCTAGAAGGTTTGTTTTGTTTGCTGCATAAAAAAAACAGCTAGTGCATTCGCTACCAGAGGTCATAAGGAAAAATTCTTTACCACGACTCATCTGTTTTACTGTTTCTCTTCTCACAACACTAATTGCTTTTATCTTTTTTCCTAATTCAACTGATTTTCTTTTTTAACCAGATTCGTCACATATGTGTGACGCATTCGCAGAGCCATTTGAGTGGGGTAGAATGTCGGTTTCGTAGGCGTAAAGTTGAGCACCATGGCCCGTTAATTGTTTATTTTGTGCTTTTTAGACTAACGACTGCTGTAACGCATTCAGTTTGCCATTCTTTATGCTCTGAACAGAAAAAATCATTGTTCAAATGCCAGTATCAAAGCAGTGCACGTTATCCAACAACTTGTCGGATCTGTACAGTAACTCAGGTTAATGAATGTTTGCTAATTGCGTGATTGCTACAATCCCGTGAGCTGGAGCACCAAAGTAGTAGTCATATTCTGATGCGGTCTTTTCAGTCAGAATTCTAAGCTATGGTGGCATAGGCTAAGTTTTGCTTCTTAATATTACTTGGTAAAATTGGAAAATGCTTAACAAAACTCAAACGGATTAATAAAAGAAGTCCTCCGATGTGACTAATCTTGGCCCCTCATTTTCTCTACTGACTCTTATTTCCCACGGAGGTGTCAGCCATTACTCGGAGAAATAGCAAGGGGCAATTCGGAGGATGTGGCAATACAGAACTTCCCCCATACTTCGGACGTTTGTGCTAAGCACTGTGGGCAGTGGGTTGCTTAAGCATTGCCAAAGATACACCCACTCGCTTCACAAACGTTGAAATGCGAAAAACATTCCTCATCACAAGTCAGTCCGACATCGGCCAGCCCACAAATTGCAAAACAAGTTATTGCAGTGTGGTAGGCCGGAAACGGTAGGAACCGTTTTGGTCATTTGATACTCAAGCAAGGGTGACTAACACGCCACAAGTTGTTCGTGAGTAGGCATCGCTTTCTACCACGTTTATTGGGGACGATTTGTCGAGTACATCTACTATCGCACACTTCCTAGTTGAACCCCGCCAGATTATTTACACGCATGTAGAAGAGCTGAAAGTACTGGTAACATAAATGACAGGAGACTTCTAACGAAGTTTCGCTAAATCCTGCAAATTGAATTGATCTCATGAGCAAGGGCCAAATCCTGTCCTACACCGGTGTCGTGGATAGGCCTTTACATGGTGGCAAAGTCAGAGTGGCATTTTTATCAAACTGGAACATCTGGCTCGAAAGTGGAGCCACTGAAGAACGCTTCAATGACACCACACTCCATAATGTGTGACCATGACCTCCAAGTTTATACTCACGACTGGCGCATATGTCATCTACTGGACCAGACACGCTTTATCAGGATGACAGCTAACGGTGGTGGTGAGTGCTTGCTTACAGTAGCACGTGAGGTGTGATGAACTGAATCTCCTCTAAATAAGGACGTGATGTGCACAATTCAAAGACGACTGCACGTCTTTCCGCCTGTGTCGAGCTCTGCAGTGGTATCCTAACGGTCATTCCCGTGAAGACACAGCTGTCACGTAGAATGCCTCATCTTGCAAGCACGATGAACGCGCAATACCTTGTGGGTTGGTGCACAAGAGATGAATCGTTCCATGTGTACGGCGAATCCATAATAGCACAATCGTTCGAGAATAATTGCGATTTCGAAAAGTGTATGCACACAGGGGGATAGGTCTG